AGACTTCTCAATGATGTTTCCGTCGATTTCTAAGGCCGAAATTGAACGGGTGCTCAGAGCAAACGATGGCGACGTTGCCAGAACCATCGACGACGACCTTCTGCTCATTTCCTTAGAGGTTGCTATCCTATTCGTAAGAATTTTTCGAACAATTCCACAACGAAAGATTTTCAGGCTACTCAAATATCTACACCAGCATCGAGTTCTTGCCGAAGTCAAAGTGCGCCATCTGCCGCTAAGGTTAGTGAGTGAAGAAGAAATACATAAAAAAGATGATGAAAAGAGAAAAAGAGAGAAAAGAAAGGAGGCAGCAAAATGAGAACTCAACCGTTTTCTTTCTTCGAGTAGATTTCATTTATCCTCAAAATAAACCCAACTTCTTGAACAGACGGTTCATTTTTCGGTGTCATCGAGTCGCCGATCAGCGGACGACGCCGCTTCATCAACCAGAAGCTTACTCAGGTTAGCTGGAACCTTACCTATCGTCTTTTTTGATGTTTATCTTTCAATATCACTATGATTGCGTCATCGCAAAGAACTCCGAGAAATGAGAGATTCAAAGTTGAGCGCTATACAATCGCTTGCGAGTGCGCCACGCGTTCAACATTCTATCAAGAGTTTGACATCTTTGAATGGGCATGCGAACTATGCATTTTTCAACATGTTTTCCGAAGTCAAAAACTGATGTTTTGTCCTGAAGAGTCAATCAACTATCAACCAACTCGATGGAGCTCACGGGGACGAGCAGCTGACCTCGGCATGATTTAGTTCTATTGCCAAAGGGATGAGGAATCTCAGCCTACTGGTCTTAGCGGCGATCTCTTTCTTTCATCAAATTTTTCATTGGTGTTTCTTGATTATTGATATGAAAACGTTGTTTTGCTCAGAGATCGCAGTGGCGCTCAATTTCATTTAATGAATAAGCTCTCATAGCTTCGTAAACAAGGAAAACCACTCCAAATTTCATTTTTCTATGCAATTATCTACTTAGGCTTTTCATAAACCGATCAACATTTTGAAAGCGAAACGCGCAATAATAGCAATTGCTTCCCAAATACTCTTGATGAGGTGGAGAATTCAATACTGACGTGCGGAAGTTGGAAAGCGAAACAGCGAAATACACACGGTTCCAAGGTGAGGGTAGAGGAGAAGGAGAGGGTACCTGACAGGAGGCCCGTCGCGGGGGGAGACGTGCGTTTCTCCTCCTGGGGTCAGGTCACCACAGTTGCGCGATCATTGAAGCTTAAGGTTAAGTTTGGGTTTAGACTTAGGTTAAGGCTTATGCTTACACATTGGCTTATGCCTAAGCCTATGATTGGGCCTAGGCTTAGTCCTAAGCTTGCTCCGAGCGAATGAACGGCGTCTCAATTTTAGGTGACCTGACCCCAGGAGGAGAAACGCTACGCACCCCGTCGCGCGTAAGAAGGACGAGTCGCGCGCGTACTGAAGCAATTTCACGTCAAGTTCAACAGGATGTCCATTTCACATCTTACATCATATCGCGCGCTGCGACTGGTCCGCCGACTCTGCCTCCGCGGGACAGGCCTCCTATCGGGTCCCGGAAGGAAGGAAGCGGAAGTGGGAGAGTCGAGAAGTGAAAAGTCGAAGTAAACATAACCTGATCAGTATAAACTCTTGCTGCCTCGGCCTGAATATGGGAATCCTTACAGCTGTGAAGAGCTAGCGTTTCGGCAAAACAGCCCCATCCGCATTCACTTGATCAAACATTTCACAACCCTGCAGTACCGTCGAGACAAATTATTTCATTGAAAAGTAACTAAAAGTAAAGGATGAGGCGTTGAGTGGTTGATCCACACCTTTTTTCGGATGCGCCATGCATGTGGCCTAAAAGTCGACATAAAAATTGGTGAATCTATTGAAGGCTATCGGCGAATTTGCCGGGGCCACTCAGGCCACTGCTTATTGTTCCATGCAAAACTGGTACCATTTAACCCCACCCTGGCATGTAAAGCGCTGGTTGACCCAGGCCGGGTGCAGCAAGCCCCAACGCGGGTATGGTTCCCCAGAACTCTGCATCTCGAGACGCTTCCCCTATGCTTGACTGTAAGAGTTGTGTCATCGACCAGAGCAGAGACGCAGAGTTTTGGGAACCCATTCCCGAGTTGCGGGCCGTCCTCCCGTTTACGTAAAAGCGCGCCTTGACCTGGTACGTAGATCGATCCAGGATCAGAAAGCCGGACGTGGAAAGCGAGTCAACGGTTATTCTACCACTTCCTCTCAATAAAACTGATAAGGATAAAAGAATAGAGCATTCGGCATTGATCCATTGTATGGGCCATTGCACTCCTTTACTCAAATCAAATCGCCATGTGAATGCCTATTCATATACTGGGACAATGCCGATATACACCAGTATCATTATCTTCTGGTGAGTCTGAGGCAAGTCTGGTACAACTGACCGACACAGGAGAGATGGAAGGCCTAGGTTGGCTCGGACGACGCACGACTCAGGATTTGACCTCCGACTCGCGCGTGTCTGGCAAGGCAGCGCCACTTGCACTACACCAATCCTACCCATAAAATTGATAGGTAGATAAAATGCCATACATGCATGGTAAACATTCACCGAAGTTCAAATACAAACCCATGATAATCTCACCCAATTTCAAAGCCGCTGCGAAACTTCTCCAATTTTGTAATTCCAATTGAAGCCCAATGTGCGAAAATACAGAATACACCAAACTGAATCAACTGTTATCGAACAGTTTACGAAATTTGAATGAAAAAGTTTCTTAAGCTCGGACTGGATTCGAACTAAAAGTTATGCTTTCTGAGCACTTCACTGCCGTCCACAACGGCCCATTCGGATGAACTTTTAGGCAGAGAGAGAACCTCGGTAGAGAACTGCTGCGAGAATTTGCAGCTAGCGAACAAAAACAAATAGTGATTTGTTACCTTTTTTGCCCTCACGATCAGTTTGACGAACTTTGCCTTCCAATCCGAACTTCTCTTACCGGGTTTTCCTGTTCAGGGTTTCTCGTTTGAGCGCACGACGAAATCGTGCGAGAGCGAGCACGAATCGAACGGATGAAAAAGGAGAATGAACGACGTCTTGACGTCGTATGTGATGAAAAGGAAGCCAGGTGAGTGGTAATTATTATGTATCGATAGCACACAGAGCGATCACAGCAACGCTATGGATGAGAACAAAAAACTTCTAAAATCTAGGTGGTTATTCGGTTACACTTACGCTTAGTCAGCCTTGTGTAAAAATATTTATGGGATTCGAAATCTGTAAAATTTGATGCTCCTTTTTTGTCGAATTGAAGGCACATACCACAATCAATTTGCTATGATTCATGGGCGCTCATGACATTAGTGGGACATTGAAGTGAGTGAACAACTTACAGAATATATGACTAGGACTAATAGGACTAACGGGGGAGGGAGTCGGGGAGGACGATTACGACTTTCATTTTCCTTGAGGTTTCTTCCCTGTCTCTGGCTCAGAACCTACCAGCGGTTTTTAAATACCCTGTTTTGATGTCCCCTAAGACAATGAGCGCGATTTCGCATGTTGATAAATGAAAAGAAGTGGGCCGCGAAATGCACCGACAGCGAGGGAATAGTGTGAGACCGTGCGGTCGCCGCGCAGAGAGTAAGAGGTTAACCGGCTGTGTGGGAGTGAACTGTGTGAGGGAAGCGAGAAATAAGCGTTTGAAGAGAGGGAAAAACGAGTAGCCGGCGGCATGAATATAGCGCCACACCAGCATGTTGGTGGTTGGCAAAAATGGAGACTGTGACGCGGTTCTGGGAAGGCCCTACGCCCGCTGTTGCGTTATGTGGTAGGAAGGAATACTTTACGGCGGGTATGTGAACAGCACGGAAAGGGATGCACTTCACCTGAATTCTTTCGTGGGGTAAACCTTCAAGGCAATAATAAAAAAAATTATGGAGATAATGAATTAATTAAAACAACCACGGCCATAAACCATAATTACGATCACGCAAAACCTCGGTGAATTGCTTTTCTGAAAACCAAATAAACCGGACCAGTGCGCGTGCGCTACCACCTACTTGAATCACTGGAGTTCGGGGGATATTCCTTAGCATTTCAATAAGCCAACGCTGGCCCGCTGGTTGTCACACCGCTCAGTTAAGGTATTCGTGAACACGAATATCAATCGATCTTCTTATGAGATCGGGCGTTCGAGGAATATCGGACCTATTCGAATCTTAGCGTTCTAGACATTAGCTTGACCTTAGAACGATAAAAGTAACCATTTCAGAAATATCACGTTTTCAGAATGCTCGAAGACGAACAACTGGCACTTCTGATGCAGAACAAAGAATTTCTTCGCTGGATTCGACATGAACAGCTTCGTAAGTAATTCGAAACCTTCATCATAAAAGTAAAAAGTTTTCCAGTAGGTTTCCAATAGGGGCATGTGGGCACAGTTTGTAGCCCACAATATCTCACTTCTTGCAGAGGAAGAAATTCTCCGAAGGTCTTTCACAATTGTCCTTCCGCTTTTATACGCCACCCTAGAACTCGCTCTACCAGCGAAAACTGGAACTACTGTAGGCGACACAAATTGTCCCAGCACATGCCCCTCCCTTGTTGAACTAGACTCTAGAAGAAGAATGTGTTATCCCAGGGATAAGAATTTGAAGCCCTTGGCGGTGACCAACTTTTTTGGCCGCACAGCGGCCATGCTCTTTTTGTCACATTTTCTAGACAATAATTATTATTTGGTACAACAAGAAAAAAATCGGAAACAGAACCTGAACCCGTGCTTTCATCTCCTTACGCAGATGTTCACTCTCTGAAAACAATTTCAAAAAATGCGCAGTTTTGTGATCAAAATTCCCCTTTGCAGCGTACATTTCGTCCTCGTCTCGGCCAGCAAAAGTGCATCGGAAAAGAAGTTCAGGCAAGGAACATGGTGAGTTAACATACGCACATTCTTCACCTTATCACTCACTTATCATCACTTCAATTTTTCGAAAAAAAAAACGACTTGAAACTGCACAACGTTAGTCACATCTATGGGGACACTATATGGAGTAATACGGATACAGGAAAACGTTTCTGTCCAATAAAAAGAATTGAGAAGGTCAGCTAATCTCCAAAAAATAAGTTCATTATTCCCTTCTAGTTGACTGCCAAGAGAGGGGTCTTCAGTAACTATCAAAGGGATTTGAGTAGATTGAAGAGGTTTGACAAGGTGGAGACTACAAAGCAGAGAAAGTAGCGGCGTTCCCTAGCACTAAATCACCCCAGTCCTACAGAATGACTTCAAAATTTCTCAGTGCTTGAAAATACACGTGGAGAAAAAAAAAGAATAAAAAAATCCTAATGTCCAGGACCAAAAGGGATACAAAGTCAAATCACAAGGTAACCAGGCATAAACGTAATTATTGTTTAGTAAGAACTGCTCCATAAAATCAAATCCAGCTTCGTTAGGAGCTTTGAAAGAAGGACATCTATGTTTTACAGGTCCACCCGTTCCAGAGGGGCCGGTGGTCGATGAGTTGATCATCAACGCTGAGCCGGATCTCAAAGATCGACTGAAGAACGTAAGCAAAGGTGAGGCCCCCTTCCATATTCATACAAGTCCACTCTTACATCTCAGCGTTGCTGCTGGGCCTCTGCTGAGCAAATAGGTACCAACCAGCTTTATAACTGGAATACGCTTTAACGGTGTTGCGTTTGAACAAGAATGTGCTCACTGAGAAGTCAGAACAACGCTCCAGATTTGAGACCTATTGGTTGTGTAATGAAACAGTTCCCGGTGCCAGCGTTTTCCACACCTACCAAGAAACAAAGAAAATGAAGCGCTTGTGAAGTTAAGCGTAATTTCATGGGAGGCATAGAGCAGTGCTCCATTTCAGTACAGTTCTAACCAAGCGATAGTGCCATTAATTTTCAAGCTTTCTCCAAGGCCCGAAGCGGAACACAGAATATCACCATTGAATTAGTTAGTAATGCAGAAACAATTACAATTGATCTATTTAAAATAGCTCGATGGTACAATAGTATTGAATAGCACAACCAAATAATTTCAAAAACAACAGGTTGGAAAAGAAAAGTACGTCCTGTGTAGGATATTGTACTACTGTATGAAAGAAAAATGCAATGAGATGTTTCAAAGCGCAGCACTTAAAAAGGAATGTAGTAAACTTAAGATCTTTTTAAAGTATTACGCAGTTTTTCGAGTCCTAACTTTATTACAGCTCCTAATTTCAGTGTCCAAAGAACGCCTTCTACAACTTGCCGCCCGCTTTCGACGAAGCAATTCAGCTCATCTTAACGCTTTCTGATCGTATTTTCACATTTTATTTGCCGACGATTTTCTTCATATCAATAAAATTTTGCAATTTCTGACTTGTGCATTCATAAGAACAGTCGCTGACGCCGTGCACAGACCTCCCCCCCCCCCCAAAAAAAAGAAAGAAAAAAATTGTTGTTACGGACAAACACAGGAGGTTTAGTTAGCGAGTCACATTGATGACTCTTTTCTGACTGGCGAAGGTAAGCTTAGGGTTGGCTAATTCCACAAATGGAAACAATTATATAGCGATTGTGCTCTAGATGCCTCAAGAAATAGATGTACAAGCATACCATAGAAGTTTCATTCGATACGAATCAATATGCTCCAACGAACAAAAAACTAATTACAGCCTACCCTAACGATAAACTTTCAACATGAAGACTCTTTGAATAAGTTTTCCGCTGAGATCTCGTTAATCCTCAGTACCGTCAGCTCTTGACTCAACCCTGAAACAAATGATCGTGAAACAATAGAATGATTCCTCAAAATAAAGAAATCGTGATGACTCACAATTGACTACTTTAACATGGGCGTGATTATTCCTTATATATTCCAATTCGGGGTATGTTGTAGACTTTTCAACAACAGTTGCCTCCACTTTAACTGAATCTAATAACGGCCTGCCAAAAACGGAGAACCGGCTTCCTCCAACCATCAAGACCTGGAATACTAGTAGACTAGAAAAAAATCGAAAAAGTCCGAAGTCGCTTAGTTATGTTCTCGTTCTTCTGAATTTTCAACGCCTTAGAGAATTTTCTAAGTCTTGAATAACCAAAGGGAAAAGGCAGTTTAGCAACGGTATCACTGCTGTAATCGACCTTCGCCTAAAGCTGCCTTGCATGAAACAATTTTCGAAAGATCACTCCCTCATACTTCCAGGAGACTTGAGAGTTTTTCAAAATTTCAAAAATGACGCCTACTGTTCCAAAATAGTTGGAAATTCATGCCACAGCAAGGGCCTACAAAGGCTTCCAGGATACGTCTTCATATATCGTGCGTTCGTCCCCAACCTCGTCCGCTCCAACACTCTCACAACACACAAACCTCAAACACCGAACTACAACGTAGCCTCGTTTACGTAGCAAAGCGTAAAACGACGGCCGCATGTTGCGGCAAGAAGCTGGCGCCAGCAAGCCTACATCATTGACCACTTCCATTAGTTGTGAGGCAATAGTAGAGTAAATGTGAGTTCAAGGTCAGTTTTGAGTCAAAGGGCATTCAATAACACAACAAAGACCGTTTACTCCTTTTTCAACGAAGGATGGCCCAACAATAATATCGAGCCCGGAATGCGACGAACCTTCTCAAACCTAGAACTACTCTCACACACACACAACCACACAACAAAACAACACAACCAACGGCTATAGGTAAACTTCCTTTGAGGGCAATCAGATCATTTTGACCAACTTTCCATTGGCGTCCATTTACGTATACAACAGCGAAAAGTCGATTTTGCGGATCAGAAACTTCCGAACTAATCGATAGCCAACCTGCAAAAGCACATTTCCGATTGATCAGATCTACTATTCTATTCAACACCAAAAAGCCAAATAGCTCACCCTAACGAAACTTCTTTGACCCTGTGTTCTGAGAAGTTTCGTCAACAATTTCTGCAAGTGTTGCCAAACGACGTGAACAGTGCCGTGAAATCGACGCTAATCGAAGCATACCTAGATCTAGCCATACAATCATTAATCCAACACGAGGCTCCGGACCCAAAATCGTCCACATGAGAAAATACACAGAGGCAGAAGAAAAAAAGGAAGTAGGTGGACTGAACCACAAAAAAATACATGACCATTTTCAAAATCAATATGATTTATTGATGTGAAAATTGAGGAGAGAAGCTTCATCTCTTCTTGAAGCAACTTTCTTCTAACCCGCTTGTATCGATATTAATTTGTTCAGCAAGTTGAGCAAATGCAGCACGTTCTTCTTCGCTCAAAACACCCATTAACTGCTCCACTTCTCCACCAATACCCAACCCCTAAAAGTAATAATTATTTGCATTAAGCCCTCTAAAGCATTAAGAATGAAGTTAAAGATCTGAAGTCGAAGTGGCGACAAAAACAGTGAATGTAGGTGGAAAAACAATGAATGCAAAAGGAAAAAAGTAAGCCAATGTTCAAGAACACAGCTAAACGGCCAAACAAGCTGGCTTACCAGTAACCTCCTGTCAATTTCATCTTCATCGAGCAAATAGTCATCAACCGTGTCTGTGACCACTTTTTCCAGATATTGCTCTGCCTTCGGTCGGAATCCACTCACTCCCGGCTCTTCGTCATCAGAATCTAAAGGGTCGGCGTCATCCGCAGCGGCTCCATTCGCATTTGCACCTGAAGGTGGAAATGAAAGCAGTAGCAAAGAAAAGTGGATAAACTACTACAAAAATGAATACCAAACAAATAAATGAAGCCTACCAGGCATCTCATCAAGTTCGCCATCCAAATATTTCTGCATACGTTCCTCAAACGTATCCTGGTTTTTCCCGTCTCCTTCGAAGCGTCGTCCTTCCAATTCCTCTTTGACGCATTGTTTATAGAAATCCTCAGAGCATTTGGAATGTTTCTCGCATTTATAACATCTGAAACGGTGCACTCAACAATCCACTCATGACCATGAAGAGCTGAGTTAGGGCGAACGATACCCCAATAGCGTAACTTGTGAGCGCTTGCTCGGTAAGTGAGAAGTGAGGGGTGGAGCTCCGCCCAGAGCAAAAGCTTTGGTCATAACCCGACATTCCTGTTTCCCAAGGTGACTGCGGCCAAAGATATTAGCTGACAATCAAAAACAAGTCAAAATCCACTCTGCGTAATCTCAAAGATCATACCCTACCACTCCAAGAAATAATGCTGAAAGAACAAAACCAAAATTACCACCAAATAAATGGTGATGAATTCATAAAATTTTAAGATGTTGACAAAATCCAAATATTTCCTGCGGAACTAACCTTAGCGAGCAATAGGTCGCATTGCAACGAGGACATTTGTACTGTTCTCTTCGCTCGGTTGAGCAAAAATTGCACCTGAGCATTTCCTAAAACATCACTTGGAGAATTGAAAAGAACAAACCAATGTTAAAAAAACACAAAACACCATAAGAATAAATAGAAGTACTTCGGTATAGCTCTTAACTAGCGGTGATCGATAGAATACACGGTGTAAAGTATAGTACTTTATGACATATCACATAACACGAACCAACAAAAAGTGAATAGAACTTTTGCAACGGACATTCACAACAAACAGAAACATAACAATGAACCACAACGGCAAGTGTAAATAAATAACTGAATAAACAAATGAAAAGTAGATACAGAAAAAGGATCATGTCTCGTCTTCTTCTCCTCCTCATCATCTTCCTCCTCATCACCATCTTCCTCCTCTTCGTCGTCTACTTCCTCCTTACCATCACTTTCCTTCTTCCTCGTCCTCATCTTCCTCATCGCTATCATCTTCATCTTCATCGTCAACATCAGAACCTTCACCCGACCTGCCCTGAAACTCCATTCTCCATGTCATCGCCATCTTCCTGTCCTGCGAGCTCTTCTGTGGTCGTTGCTTTTCGTTTGATCAACTGAGATCATCGAAAAACTTAAAAACACAGGAATTTAATAGATCGTTGGATCAGAGGATGGAAAAGATTGGATGAGCGTTTCAGCTATGAGACAAGCTATTTGGAAGGCGATTCGACTCCACTTCCACCCACAATTGTAATACAGTGTGGCATAACGTATATAAAATAACGGGTGGGAGGTGCAGATGGCATGAACAGACCTTTATGCAAACAGTGTTTTCACCCTCCCAGATAAGCTTATTACCAATTGAGCGACCATAAACATGAAAGTTTCGGTTGACCTGGGCGGAATTAGGCAACGGACCGTGCATATGGAATGTGGCGTCTTTTGCAACTACTACTTTTGCAATGGGAATCCAAACAAAGCTTCTTTAAGGAGTGGCTCCATCTGGGGTGAAACACTTTGAAAATTTATTAATGGAAAGATGTTTACATCAGGACAGCAAGCGAAACCTTTACAAATCCTAATTTTGAAAGCAAAAATCTCAATAGAACACGATTATTTGACAAAAAACCAAATCAGGAACAGTGTCATGAATCTCACCCTTCTTTGACGACAGGCTTCCGTTTTTTGATGTCAACAACCCGTAGAACAGGCACATTGGCCAGTAGATCAGCTAAAGGCCAGAACTTGATGGACTTGCAAAAGGACTTGACATTGGATATCAGCGCTCGACACGATCGCGATACTGAAGCATGCAAGAAATCGGGTTCGGATCGCATCAATGTTTGCTGCACTGACTACCCACCACACGAGCTGATCAATACCGTCGTCTTCTCCATGTGTGCCAACCGGATCCTAGTTTTTTAGTTGGCATTACGTTTATAAGTCTATAAAAAACACATATGCAAGGAAAGAAGAAACGTAATAGAAATTTGGGGGGCCTACTTTTAATTTATCCGATGACCCACTGCATGTCATCAGAAGTCCTTTTCGGAGCTCCACCACATCGTCCACGCCCTATAGACAACAAATAAGACTCAGGAAAACGAGAAATAGGCTTTCCACACAAACTTTATAAGGTAAAGAAAAAGCTAAAAATGTGAAAATTTCGAACCATTTCGAATCCAGTTTCGATTCGCTCCAAAAGGTTCCCGTATTCACCGTGAACGAAAACCTCTAGGTAGCCATCACGGCCTCCAGCATAGACATACCTGAACTACTGATATTTCAAATGAAAAAAAAAAAAACAAAAAGGAAAAAAGCAAATGAAAAAATGCATGGCGCGGGGGGGGGGGGGGGGCGGGGGGCCCCCCCCCCCCCCCCCCCCCCCCCCCCCCCCCCCCCCCCCCCCCCCCCCCCAGGGCTTTTTTTTTTTTTTTTTTTCTCTTTTTTTTTTCCCCCCCCCCTTTTTTTTTTTTTTATTTTTTTTCCAATTTTTTTTTTTTTTTTTCCCCCCCCCCCCCCCCCCCCCCCCCCCCCCCCCCCCCCCCCCCCCCCCCCCCCCCCCCCCCCCCCCCCCCCCCCCCCCCCCCCCCCCCCCCCGGGCCCCCCCCCCCCCCCCCCCCCCCCCCCCCCCCCCCCCAAAAAAAGGGCGCGCCCCCGGGCGGCGGCGGCGGACGCGGGGGCGGAAAAATATGAAAAAACGACAAAAAATCAGACAAAAACTATCCCGGGAACTTGATAAAAAGGGAAAGAGCGAAAATCGTAAAAAGAAAGATGACATTACTAGGAAAACAGAATTAAAAACCATTGAAGATGTTACCTTCCAACTGCCTCAACCTAAACTGCTTCACGACAGGAAATACGTTGACAAACTTACTTTTCAGTCACATAAACTGACGAGTTCTGAATGCATCACTTCGCTCTTCATACGCAGCTTCCGCTTGCGTACTTCATAGGCTGCAAGGGTGCCATCAGGACGACGCCGACAACACGTTATGCCGGCTATCAATCTTCAGTGCGTTCACGTCCTTAAAATGGAATAATTACAACTGACTTAATGAATCCAAAATTCATTTGAGCTGCGAAAGTTCTTAGTGCATGAAATCCTACCGCTTCTTGCTCCTTCCAAGAACAAATCATTGGAGAACTTGCTCGGAGATCCCAAGTACGTACCTATGAATAATTTTAAGTCTCTTTTAGTTAGAATGAAAAAGAGAAGAGGCCCAGACTTTAAGACCTACTTATATAGAAAATTGTACCTCGCCTGACTTCATCGCCGGTAGCAAACTGTTGAAATTTACTGGCATTTGGCTGCAAAAGACAAATAGATGTAGGCTTATCATCATGCCCTCGAACAAGACATCGCTTCCTAAAATAGTACAGTACGTTTTGCACTTCGATACGCAACACTCATGAGGCAAGCTGAAGCAACGGTACTCTCAATTAACTTGCTGGACTACTCAAAAGGTCCCATATTTAACCATCAGTATATTTACATTACTCCACACCACATCACAACCGATCGTCCTCGTATGTTTCTCTTTACACCACTACATATGTCCATAATTCCCCGTTCATAGTTCGCGATTAATGCGGTTTGACGATTTAGCGAACACGTTGAAACGAATGTACGACTGAAGGATCGTCGACATATCGCATCGACTAATGGTCGAGGTCACGATCAATGTGCACCTAGTCCTCTAAGCATAACCGCTAAATCGCCAGATCGCTTTATCGCAAAATCGGCAAATTTTAGATCGATACGTATGTTTTGCTATCAGCATAATTGCTAAAACAGCATTAACCTCAAACTATGAACGGTGACTAACTTTTGAGAAATGTAACCTACATCGTGAAATATTTGAAGAAAAAAAGGGTCCAACCGTTCACCTTCTTCCCGTCTCCACATCAAAGCATGACAATCCCCTATTGCTTGTTATAGCAAACACTTCCGACTGATCTCGATTAAACAGCAATCCTCGAACGCTTGCCTTTGTTTTGAACTTCCACTGAGTCTGTAATGCGCAACAGATTTCTCAAGTGATACATTTGAAACGATCTTAACCCTCACACCGAAGCAAACAGTGAATCATGACAAAGAACTATCTCCAAACCAATCCAGATTCAAATAATCACCACAGGACAAACTTGAACCAGAAAAAGCATACCTTGAACAACTTCTTCGAGACATCATAATTGGCAAATTGCACTATACCATCCACAAACCCTACCACTATATTGTTACGTTCGTCCGTAGTAAAGCAACTAGGAGGAGACAGGAACACCTCCTCCATCCTAAAACAATGACCAAGCATGCAAATTGATTCCGTTCGGGCTGCTCAAAAATTTTGCACGAAGAGGCAAATACGGGTATCCACGAATCTAGCGAATGAGAAAAGTAATGAAGGAAAAAGCTGGCGCTACATTTCAACACATGCTCCGGATGCTTGAAATAATGTTTCTTCTACAAATATTTTTTATCAGATTTCAGTTGGGATAGTTGATAACCTGACAAGAGGGGGTTTCTAGTGGAAACCTATCTAAAATAGCGGGAATTATGCGATATGAAACCAAATAGAGGCAACCAACAAATCCCACTCCCAGAGAAACGGTTCCAAGAAGTGTCACTGCGAAAATGAAAGCGGCTGAAACTTCTGCGTAGGCTACTGCGCTGTTTCCGCAACTTGCACACATTTAAACAAAGGTGCGAGCGCAGTCGCCGTAGGCTCTTCCAAAGGGTTCTCACCGCAACTGAACTCGTTTCTAGAATACGAGAGAGGTTCAAAAGCTGTAATACCTCAACAGGAATGAACCCTTGAAACTGGTCAACAAAGTTCATAACCACATTATCTATTTTATTTGTTATAAACATCACAGTTTTCAAAATTACAAGCGCTTCAGAGATGAGTTCAAAACTTAAAGATTAGTACAAATTATTGACAAAGATATTAAAAACCCTACCAGTAAATGTTCTATGAGAAATTTTTCGACGAAGGGTAGTTGGGGAGGAATGCCATGGGTGTGGTTTGCTAGAGCAGAAAACATGTATTCCGCTTTTCGCAGCGAAAAAAAAAATTTCGCGCTGCTAAAAGCGGAAAAGTCACTTCATGCCTTAGCGACTCACTTTCTAAGGCATCGCAACAAGATAGCTGTTCCTGCGCAGTAGTACGATTCTAGCTAGGAAGGGAGCTCCAAGGTTGGTGAACCAGCCTGCTTGAGCAGGGAAGTTAGTAAGTGAGTATAAAATAGCTATAAATATTGGTTATTGTTCTGAACGCCTTCGTGATCTACGTTACGAGGCTCCTCCCAACTGCCCTTGGGCCCAAGCCTTCACATTTCCATACATACTACATGCAAGTGTAACTGAAAACTCTGATAAACTACAACAATATTCAAAGTCAATCTTCATCCGAATCAATTATAAGCCGGTGTCGTTTCTTCTGTGAAATAGAGGGAGGAGATTCAGGAGCAGCAGATTCTTCTTTTGGTTTTCTTCAACATTCGCCGTTTCAGCATTATCTTCCTCATCGGAGCTACTTATCACACGCTTCCTCTTGATACGGCTCTGGAACAGTGGATTCTTTAGGGGTTACGAGCTCATCTTGCTTGCAATATTACTCTTTTTGCATGATATATTATGTGACTCACATCTGCTTACATATAGAAACAAGTAGAAGAAAAAAGTAGAAAACTCATTGATAACACCTTGTCCTGAACTTACCACATGATCTAAAGCACTGGCTGGAAGGTGATGCATCTGAATCTTTTTCTTTCGAGTCGGGTTCCTTAATCGGTCCAGGATCACGGTCTTCTTCATCATCGAATCCTTTCGTAGGCTCTGCCATATTTTCAGCATTTTCTTCAGATACGGTAATCTCTATCGTTTTCTTCATGGTGATCCTGTAAGGTGATTCTGAATTTCATTATTTACCATAAGATCTCCCCACCATTTTGACAGATGGCTAGGTGAAACCAAACCAGAGAGAAGAGAAGAAATGTTCCGCTCCTAAAGCGTTGTGAACATACCGATCCGTCTTCCAGTTCCAGATCCACATCGCTTCCTTCATCACGCCCTTTATCTACTCGGGAAGTTCCATTGCTTGAAGATGAACGTTTAGAGCTGCGCCCTTCATTTAGTTCACTGCCGCTTGGACTGGGGCTCCTGCTGGGCTCCGACCTTTGAAAGCCATATCATTAAGTGCATGTATCGATGTTATTTGAAAGCAGGTATTCACTAATTATACTTTACACCGATGGCCGCCTTTTTCCATCCGGCTTGAGAACAGCTCCAAGTGCTATCAGCTCTTGCTTAATCTGCCGTTTCGGCTTCTTCTCGCTCAACCGCCGTGTACAGTAATCAACCAGGTCAACTTAAAAATTTTCCAATCGGGAGTAATAGAATATTCTGCGCAATATAATGGTGTCTTATGTAACAGTCCCATCAGAAAGCGAAAAGTTTGATGTGAACTGTGCACCCACTAAGCTCTCTGTCTTCATCATCCAGCTCGGAGTACTGCTCCTTAAGAGCAGCGAGTTCTACCCGTAGCCCTTCTGACCATTTGTAACTCTGTTTTATTTTCGGGCTTGAAAACAAAATCCAGCTATAACTATGTAGGTTAGGGCTGAACACGAAAGAAAGGGGCCGACAAGAAAAACCATTGGCGAAGCGAAAAAAGTTTGCGTTCTCTCGTTCCACTGTCAGTAAATGAGCGATACAAGTGTCACGAAGGCAAATATAATATTGATTCTTCGAGACGACACTCATGCCTCAACACGCCGGTGATTGCCAAGCATCGGTGCATAAGGTTCAAGCATTACCGTCATCGTCACGTTTAGTCCTGCTCATAAAGATGGACATACGCTTAGGAGATCCAGATTTTCTTAGCGACACGGTTTTTTGAACCATCTTCTAGCCAGCTAGCCCATTCCCATAGTGATCAACCACTACAGCTCACATGAAGTTCGGTCCTACCTATGGCGCAAACTAGAAAGGCCCATACCTAGTGCTTTTTTGGTTGCTGAAATTCGCCACGGCCCTTGAAATGCATGGACCCACGCTTCTAAAGCACGCTCTGCTTGACACTCCCCCCGAACTGTGTCCACGGATCGCGAACTATGAGGCGGCCCAATTTATGCCTTCCACAGTCACATGCCGCCGCCTTGACACCTGCCCTTTCGCCCCTGCACCTTCTGTCCTCTCTGGCTCACACCACTGTTCAGCGATTCAATACGCAGAGAAAGAAGAAAACCAAATCAAAGAAATTGAAGAAAGAGCCAAAACAAATTGAAGAAGAAAATTACACTGATTTCTTCTTCTCATATACAATTCCCAGCATAACTAAATCTGCTGGGTAATCTTTTTGTCTGAGAATTCAACCATGGCGTTCAGCTAAATTTGTACGCAAGTAAATCAATCATGTTCGCGTTGAAAAAACCCTTTTTCTTATTTTTTCATCACGGACATTCCATATCTGTCTCACCATTCTTCTCTGGCAATGCATTATACTGCTCAATAAGCTCCTTCGTTCTGATTATCGGAAAATTGCGATCCATAATAGACCTGAAAGCCTATCATTATGACTGGGAAGAAGCACTCCTCAATCGATGTCAGTATCATGATGTTGCACCATCAAGCAAAAACATTAGTAGTCGAAACATGTGGGAGAGTAAAGAAACCACAAACGGTTCCCAGAAACCCTGAGAAAATCTCTACGGTTCTCCTAAACACGAAGTTTTCTCCCTTGTTCCCGCTCCTGCCTTTGTTTCCCCCGTTGTCTCTGTGATTACCCAGTCGGAAGACAAGTGAGACTCATACCCTTTGTTGGCCTTTGCTCCAAGCGGATCTAATGCGAATTCCTTCATTTTCTTCAGAATCTGTTTACGAGTCCGTGGGCGACTGAGATTTGGCTCAATGAAGTCGAGAACGTCCATGCCTGAAGAACATTAGGCATTCTCCGATAATTGATAGCGAAATGGCTTGATAACACCGATGTAAAACATAAAAGTGAGAACCTACCCTCGGGTCTTTCGTCCATGTCCCGATATTCGTTATATAGTGAACGCAACTCATTTTCTAATTCTTCACTCCACGAGTACGCATCCTTCTGATGTTTAGATTCTCTGCAAAATCAAATTTTTCTCAGAAATTTCCAGTAAGGATATCACTAGTACAACTCAAACTCACTCATAGCCATCGCCGTTCTCAATCTCATAACATTCTTTGGGACCCTTCCAGAAAAGAATCTCAGGTGCAAGCTTCCCTCCAGTCTTTTCATAGCATTTAAAGAATCTGGAATTCCAGAAAATCGGATCTACTAGTGATCGAGGTACAACAAACTGGGAAAAGCAGACAATTTTGACTAGTTTTATATAGTTGTTCGAAAAGCAGAACTCACTGTTTCAATAAATGGTAGCCGAAAGTATACAACTCAAACAGCGGATTCTTCTTCATCTCCTCCGTTGTCAATCCGTTCAAATGTTTCTTGACTTCTGCGAAAATCCGGAACAACGATAACTAGAAGGAGATCATGAGCTTGGGTTAGAATCATTATCAAATGTAATTACCCCAGAAAAAACATCAATTAACATGAAAAAAATGAATATGACCAAAAATTTTTAGAGGGTGGAAGCTTAAAATCATGAGCGGCCGAGGGTAACAAATGAGCAGGATATATTATTCTAAATGTATAATTTTCTTACAAGAAAAAAAAAAAAAAAAAAAAAAAAAAAAAAAAAAAAAAAAAAAAAAAAAAAAAAAAAAAAAAAAAAAAAAAAAAAAAAAAAAAAAAAAAAAAAAAAAAAAAAAAAAAAAAAAAAAAAAAAAAAAAAAAAAAAAAAAAAAGGAAAAGTATAAATTGGGAAGCATCCTTGCTAAATAGTGAAGAAAAGATCGTATGCCAACCTGATAAAGGCGTACTGGCATCTTCAGATCGAACGCAACGCGGTGGAGAAGCTTCACTAGCGCCTTATTCAATTCGACGGAATTGCTAGCGAAGTCGTTCAGCAAGAAAACGTACCTTAAAAACATAACGGTTCAACACAGTGAAGAACGAGAGACGTGCTTTCTCCTCCCGCGTGTCAGGCTCACTATAGTGCGCGGATCGTAAGCTTGGGTTTCAGCTCAAGTGCTAAGGCTTATCGCTTGCCGCATCGCTTATGCCCAATCCTACGCACTGGGTCTAGGCTTAGTTCTAAAAGGGCGGCGCCTTGGCTCCGACGCGAATGCAATGGTGCGTCTCACATTAGGTAATCTGACCCCAGGAGGAGAAACCTACGCACCCATGAAGAACAGGCAACAATTAAATTCACTATGACTAACTACTTTATAATTAATTCAACCACAACTTCATATGAGTCTCCAAAGTGCAGCTCAGCAAACTGAGGTCACTGATATTGAGAATGTTGAAAATGTCTCCATGAACGGGTTTGAAAACTTCATGAGAGCACCTTTAGTCGCGATTGAACAACTAAACTAACCATCGTAGCACATCTGTCCTAGAATAGAAAGCCACATACTCCTGGAGATCGAATTTCACCTGAAAGATAAAATTTAGGCATTTATAAAGGTCATTGCGAGAGCCTGTATCACCTCCTTAGTCTCGTATCTAGCTTCTTCCTCTTCGTCACTACTGTAGGGATCTTCTTCATCTCCTTCGTCAATCATCGACTCCGTAGTGAATTTCTTCTGAGCAGCTATCTCAGCTTTCAGAAGTTCATCGGCCACCTGAATAAAAATTTTGCCGCGTAAAACCAAGAGCCAGGATTTTTTTCCAAACCTCCTTCAAATCCGTGAAGAATATCTCACGAATCTCTTCAAGTTGTTGCTCAGCGCTGTTGGTAGGATCTCCAAAAATGCCTGAAGGGAACCTGCTAGCTCGTGGGAGCAAATCTTGTGGCAAATTGACGCACCTTCAGTTGGCCACATGGCTCTCGAAGCACGATATAGTCCCATGGCATCCTGAGGGCGGCATTCACGCATGGCTCTCTGGATTTTCAGCATTGCGAATTTTCTGAAATTAGTAAGAAGGTCAGAAAAGCATTTAGCTCTTTGTTATACTTCAACAGAACTACACTAACTGGTGTTGCTCTTCTTGAACATCCAGCAATGAGTTCACAGGAAACTGATCCGCTGATGGTTCCACGTTACCCAAAATGATATCTTTGATCTCATCGGTGATTTGAGGCCACTTTTTCTCCAAGTCTTCTGCACTCATTCCATCTACCACAGCAGGAAGCGGCTCTGGGCCAAATGCATCCTCTGAAACAATGATCATTTAGTAGTGAAAAAAAGAAAGTCACGGTATGAACCTGCAGTCTTCTTTCTTCGAGACCTCGCACGTCTTATTTTGCTTCTTTTCGTTACTGTTGTGAGTTGGCCAGCTTTCACGCTCCGCTCGAGAAGACGGAAGTAATAGTGAGTTGCTAAGATCAGCTCTCGCAAGAAAGTTTTCGATAAGAAACCGGGCTGGAAAGAATCTTTATTTTCAAAAAATCTCTTAGATTTTCCAATAAGCCTTTACTCGGCGAAAACGTAATGTTCTTTGGGAAGAAGAATAGAAATCACAAATAACTTTCCCCTTTACCAAGAACCAAAATTGAAAAAATATCTGATAAAGAAGGGGAAATGCTTGTTGTGCGACAGTCAATGCGACCCAAAATAATTATAAATGCAGGGGATAGCCCCGAGGTGAGTATAAAAGCGAAAGCGATAATTCCACACCCCTCTCCAAGGATTAAAATTACTGCGGGTAGCACGTTCTGTCATATCGAATGCCCCTCTCCCCTCTTACTTGAATAGACCGGTTAGGAGTTAGGTATCGAAAAGAGGAGGAATAGGAGGAAAGAAAAGCTCTCAAATATAGGTAACAAATTCTTCCCAAATCTTTTTTAGTCAAATCTACGAAAAACAAAACAACTCGGAAAAAACAGCTCGGAGGCGTCCAGTCATGGTGGCACATAATTAATGTGTAGCAGATCTCCCAAAATTACCTTGAACTTCCTGATCAACACGAACCCCATCTCGCGGTATTCTTCAACAGTCAGAATATGATAGCATGTTCGTTTTGCAAAATCCTTTTCTTCAGGAGATCCTTTGTCGAGAAGGTATTGGTGACTGAAAACATGACCCGTTAGTTTCTGACTCGCTTCGGTCATCTGGCACATCGATCAATGGAAGACCGTCGCACCGTTCCTTCCGTCTAAGAGGAATACCAAAGCACCCACAAAAGAATAAGCTCCTTGTATGCTGACAGGGCATGCTGAGCGCGTAGACCAAAACTTCTCGCCTCCTTTGCCAATGCCGCCGCACTTTCGAGGTAGCTGTCGAGGTGCACTTGGATGTGATGGAACGATTCAACGGGAAGACATACAGACACCTGAATGAACTCAAATAAGACCAACTGCAGACCCGTGACGAAAACTGCACCTACAGTGGAAGAAGGAAGTCCAGCCAAGCGAGTATACTCAAGCATGAGTCGCATAAGTAAAAAGAAATACATGTCAGCATTTCGCTGGCCGGCGGACAGGCGTGTGTCGAAAGCCTAAAATATGCAAAGGATCAGGCTCTGTTCAAATATGATGGATAATCTGTGGACACTAACCAGTTCCTTGGTACTCTTCATTAAACGATTGAAACACTTTGACAAGTCTTCTTCCAGGAATTGCTTCAACTTTATTCTAAGATCCATTGAAGAGAGGTGCGTCTTCTGTTCAGCTTCGAACGGCCTACAGCACCCATGATGAAGGATGCGTGTACACTTAGTAAACAAAAGAAATGTTCTACAAAGTTACCGTCTGTTTTTCGCAACAGTCCTTTTATGTTTACGCTCGGCTTGAAAAGACAATTCATTTATGTCTTTGATTGGCCTGAAGTTATCGGGTTGAATGTGGAAGTTTTCAAGTAGCAAAAGGAACACTCACTTTAGAACAACGAGGTCTCTCTCCTGATTAACAGCAGACATTCCTTTAACAACGTATGAGCCAGAAAACCTGAATTATTCGGGAAATTTTTGGGAAGGTGGAATAAGAAACTTCCAAGAATATTCATTCCCCATTATCGACTTCAAAAAGCAAAACTCCCAGAATCTCCCTCGTCAGGTTTAGACTTAGTTATAGTGGTTGCCTGGCATTGCCATAACGAAAAGCTGCCGCCTCGTACCTCACGCGATTTCGTCCACCCACGAGAAAGCGGTACTCAAACCAGAAAACGAAGAGTCGAACTTGCGACTGAACCATTCACATACCTTGAATGCCTGCTCGCTAAGATCTTCCTTTTTTGAGCAGCGAGTTTTGCTTTTTCAGCTTCAACCACCTGCCGCAGCTCTTCCTCAGCCTGCTCCTTTTCGGCCTGAGTTCTGGTTCGCCCAGCAGAAACGATATCAGCCGCTTTCTGAGCAAAAATTTTTTGAGGGAGGAAAATTGCGGAGTGCAGAAGTATTAGACGACTGCGGTCCACTCACATGCTCTTTGAGAATAAGTGCGAAAATGACCATAATTGAGAGATGGAATTCTTGCTCCTTCGACTGCATCGCGATGTTTGTTAGCACCTAGAAATATAAGACACAAACAATCAAGGGGCTTAAAGCAAGCTCTGGACATGTTACTACCTTATCTATTCCGGAATCCAGGAAAGCTGTGATGACCCTATCGTGGCTATTCGACTCAGCTGCTGTTCTCTGAAGAAAGTGAAAGACTGAAGTAGAAACTAACTTGACCATAGTAATCACAAACCCTTCCATCTCTCTCAGTTGGTGAAATCGAGAAAATATATCGCAGAAGGACAACGATTCGTTCCATAACTAGACGATCCTCTTCTTGGCGATCTTCCCAATCCTATGACTGTTTCATTTAGTCAATGGCTGTTCCCAGTGGAAGAAAACCCAAACTGATAGCGCTTACCGTCTCCAAGAAGAACTTCTCCAACCTATTTTTCAAGACCGTGAAGAACTTAACATCAGCGAAGGCTAGCTTAGCCCGCCTGAGATTTTCCTCCAAAGTCCAATATGTTTGCCACTCATCACGATCTTCAGGTTGCTTCCCCTGCAAGCTCGCTAGTGCCGGCTGAGTGAGATTCGCCAACAACCTAAAACCTTTCGGATCGAAATCATTTGTAACGTCCATGCATATTAGGACAACATGAGAAATTCATACCACTTCATTTCATGAAATATTTATATGCTCTAATTGTCCTCTTTTTAAGTTGGACCAAGAAAAATTGGGAAAATTTACTAGTGAAGTTGTTCGTATTCTAAGGCGCTAAGCATCGAAATAGGATGATACGGAAACAGGATGAACCGGCCTGCATGAACTGCAGATACATACAGATGATGCTAACTATTTGTTCTGAATTTAGGGCCCCATCAAATCTATTGGGTTTGATCCTAACCACAAACAAAGCAGTGTCCAATAAGGTCATCCAATTAATCCATTTCAAGACAAAGAAGATAGGATAAGACCTTAAAATCCATCTTCTCACTCACCTAAGAGTAATGTCGAACATGTTGTCCTTGAGATTCTCCGATTTGATAATGGGTATGAGATCATTTTCAATGATATTACGCTCTCCACAAATCTTCCGAGCCAATAACAGATTATTGTCGGTACGGAGGAAGCGAATCAAATCGCGGATTGTTTCTGAAATTGATGTTTCCGCTTCAAACGAGAAACTACAAGTCAGTTCTGACTATTGTAGCTTCATGAGATACGCTTGAGTAGACACGACCCTAGAGGTTCGACTCCATAGATCTATGAAAGAGGAACAATAGAGTTTACAACTTATCTCGATCGAGTGTGTAGATAAAATTGAGGATAGGTAAAAAAGAGTATAATACAAAAGAAATACCGTAACAATCAGGCTCTTGATAGTAAACTCCATCTTCGAGGTATCCCAAAGCACTGATCGTTCCTTGGATTAACACCTCCATCGCTGCTCTAAATGCATACGTTGAATGCAAGCCGAAGATGACTTTAAGCTTGCTGGAAATCGCAAACTATAGCTCTATCAAAAACTGATCGAGTCAGCAAGAATTCCCCGATGGATATTTGCTATATTTAGCAACTAGCCAAGCTTGATCGCGACTAATACCACAGGAACCGGGCGCAATGTGGCTATGGGGGGGTCGACGGACTACTTGGACTCGGTCCTTTAAGCTGCCTCAATTCATGGTCTCGTCTGCGCTCCTTGCCTTATCAGAGGCTCATGACCACAATCACCATGAAAACTTTTGCCCGTAGTTGGCTCACCCACCTCGAGTCCCTCCCTCCTACAAGGCTTAGTCCTAGGCTCTCACCTTCTTGGGATTTGGAGCCGAGCCAGGCGCCGTTCTCTATCGTCTGTGCTCTCCGCCATTCGTGGCAGGACCATGGAAGAAAGTTCAAGTAGTCCGTAAACCGGCTCCGTGGGGGCAGGGGGGGGGGCAGCCTGTAACATTGCGTCAGGTTCACTAATACTGTTCCACATTCTGGGAGTAAGATTCGGAGGAAAAGAGAAAATCCGGGCTTCGTAAGCAATTTTCATACACTCGTAAATCGTCCCTCTGCCTTAGGATTAGTCCTAGGGGCCTTCTGACAGACTGCTCACCCCTCCCCCCGGTAGCACATTGCACCAGGGATCGGCTCCAGACAAGAGTAGGCGGCTAGAGAATCGAGAAATGTGGTTCTCTCAACCCACCGAAAGAGGTTCCTCTGCCACCAAAACCTTTAACCTGTAAACCAATTTTTGGGTGACTTCAGAGAGTTCTTGAATGAAAGAATATACAAAAGCTGCTCAAGAAGCAACGTAGAAGAAGTCAAGTTTCTTTCGTGAAAGATCGCTGGAATCTCACATGAAAGCTCCCTCACAATCAACTATTGTACCAAATTGATCTGAACATATTTACAAAGCAAAAAGGGGTCTATCCCAGTTAGGGGGCATGTGATGCAATTTCTTCAGAAAGTTAGGACAACTCCGAGCAGGGGTAGCCAGTCTAGGGGGTGGAGGGGGGGTGAGGGCAGTTACTCTGACATGCGTGAAAAGCTGGAATGTTCGAGTTCACAGTAGTTCGCCGAGAAACTGCACCATGATGCCCCCTAACTGGAATAGAACCCAAAAAAAGAAGAAATTCGGCAAAGTGTAGTCAAAGAATCACAAGTGAATTGAGAAATCCTACAAACAAAGAAGTAGATGAAAATGTCTCGAAACGTAGTAATATTCAAAAACATAAATTTCGCGCCCTTATGGACGCAATTGCAGAACATTGTTGCCGCTATCGTAATTGACAGGATCGGAAGGACAGTTCGCCTTGGCTGATGGTGAAGCAATGAATAGATCATAAGATCTTTAATCTTGGGATAGACTAAACAACCGCTCTGGATAGAACTGAAGCTTGGAAACTAAACTGCTAAACCCACCGGAGACGCTCAAGAGACTGTCAACCGTGCTGCTATCAATTTCTTCTCAAGCAAATCCTAAGCTGCATCATCTGAACCGCATTTAGGAGCAAAGTCAGAAAGATCTTGATTTCTCAAGGGTTGTTTTAAGAACAGAAGAACAGAAACTGTACCTTGAGCAAACTTGAGTGGCTCAGAAGCGAGTTTTTATTTCTGAATGGCATTATGTTGTACCTATATTAAGCGTTGCTATGTTCTGTTCTATTTTAAATTGTTTTTTTTGTTTGTTCATCTTCCATTAACTGCTATTATGATGGGAGTCGGATCATGGCAAAGTTGGCGGACCTACTAAGCTGGTATCCGGAGTTCTTATTCGTGCACCTCTGAGCTTGCAGTGTTGGCGGCCACTGCCCTTCTGCGCCAGTTATCCACTCCTCCTCCCACAGCAACTTTTTTTTTGGTAGTTTAGTTTTGGATTTTCGATATCGGAGATCCGCTTTTCACTTGAGTTTGTCATACATTTTAATTAGGAGCGATAAGTAAATCATTAATCAATTAATCATTTATCTGAACTATCAAGGAATCTGAGAGAGGGAGGAGGTAAGCAAACCTGTCATCAAGTTCTAATCGTTCTTGAACCGCTTTCAAAATACCAAACAATTTCACCAAATGGGAGATTAAAGGTTGATGGGTTGGAGACAAGATGAACCGCAGCATTAGGCGGATTCAGATATGCTACCGTATATTTTGTGGATTCTGTTGCGACGATTCAAACTGACACTACACCTCCGCCCCCCCTCCCCCCAAAGTGCCACACAATACAATTATGTGAGCCTGATACTCTCATTCTTTCCGCATTAATGGCGAATAATTCTTCTTCCCGACCAGTTCTGAGCTTCATGTCTTCCAGAAATACCGCTCAATTTCACCAAAAACGGTTCTTTTCTCCCCAAAATACGAGCTCCCATATTTGACCTCTCGGATGGTTGACCCAGATTCAAGACCAGCCCACCGCAAGAAAGTGTTAGGAATGCTAAGATTCCAATAGGACTGAAGCTCACCATTATTTGAATAACCTGCTTTTAGAGCATATCCATGTGCTCTTGGCGCAGGAAGGTCGTACTTGGCGGCCAATCACGCACGCGGTCCAGTAATCAAGATGTGGGTAGAATTTTGCTCAAGCCGGCTACTTGTGATTCCTTCCATCTTACCCAAAGAGCCTTAAATACTGGTTCCCATATGGATATGCCCTGCCCAAATAGATCACTGTACCTTTCATTGCATTGTAAGTCAGATCCCATTCAAGCACCCATAAAATTTCGAGCAAGACTTGGACGCATGGCGCATCCTCGACGGACCTACTAGATGCGTCAACTTATTTCTTGCAGAGAATGTACATCATTACTGTTTCTAGAAATATACCTTTATTCCAATCCAACTGAATTTCTCAATATTTCAGCGTCAGACTTAGAGAAACCATTAACAAATCATTCGCGGAAAACTCTTACACTCTTCCTCAACATGAAAACGTCAACTTTACAGTGTCCACTCCAGAAGAGGTTTCGTTTTGGATGAAAACTAATCCTACGAAAACCACACTCTATGGACGATCGAGGGTAGGTCGGGCGGAGACACTGGAGCGTATGGAGAGAAGGAGAAGGCCATGTATCAGGGCGAACTTATTGGAAGAATACGACGTTAGAGGCGCTTGAAGCGCGGGGATAGAGGGAGGACAGCGGACGACAAAAGAATTAGGATGCCCAGTAGAAAAGCAAAAATGCTGGTCGCCGCGATAGAAAGGGCGAAATTCCGCTACAGGGGCTAAAGGGTCCTAGTGAACGGCGCACTTGCTCGAAGAAGGTCAGGGGGGAGCGATCCTGGTGCGCCAAACATTTGTGACAGATGTACGGCGGGAATTCGAACGCGCAGCAGCCCTTACGGTTTTTCGAAACGAAAGCAGTTTTTTTGGTTCTCGTTCGTATCGTGAATGATGGGTATAAAATCAGTGATTAATGGGCGAGATAGATCATGATTTTTCCGTGGACGATTTCTTTGAATCGGATCCCGCTTATCATCGAGTGCTTTGATGTCTGCTTCTTCTTTCTGTTTCTTCTGCTCTGAAAGTGCAGGACCGCACCTTCGTTTTTTTCATTTTACTTACCTCTCAAATAGTTGGGCGGCACAAGTATCGCTGAAGTGCTTCCGCTGGGCGAAGAGAGCTATTTCCAAGCTTTTTTTTCTTTCGTCATGACGACGAAGCAGGTTTCTGCAGATCTGCTGCACAGCTCTTCATCTTGGAGCCTTTGGGTGAGAATGCTTGACGTTTCGTGGATTGGCTTACACTGCAGCTCTCAAGTACATCAAGCAGCGTTGCCCTTTATCGCTTTGACTATTCGCTTTTACTTTCGTTTTTGTTTGGGAAATGAACTCCGCTCTCTCTTGAGGAAATGTCGTGAGGTCAGCAAATGGAGCGGAAATTCAAACTGAACTTCGTTCAAAAAGGAGACATGCGGACGTAGTACGCACAATGTCAGATGACGTGCATAAGTGGTTTCAGTGTGGTTAGGTCGTGCGAGTTTCGATGGAAAAACAGCTTGCGATGGGATCCGCTAACGGTGGCAAGACTCGTTTAGGCCGGTCCAGATGGATTGTATTGTACTTGTGGTTGGTTTTGAGGAGGAAGATCGTATATCTGGTATACAAGGAAAGAGAATGAGTCTTCAAAACGCAAGGGGGAGGAGACTTTTTCTGACCAAACGGTCTAAAGACTTTGACGCTGCCATATTCGGCGCAGTATGAATTTCTAAGTTTTCGGGGGGGGGGGGGGGGGGGAGGCGGGGTTGTGTGTGTCATGTGGCAGCAGGTCCCTCAGTGGGAAAACACTGAAACCACTATGTAGAGAAGGGAGGGAAGAAGAAGAAAAATTTCAAAATCGGCAACAGGGGACCCTGATTTGAAGGCAATTTGATGCGCATTGTTTTTGCCTAGGCGCTAAAACATTCATATTAGGCGATGGCATTGGAATGGGTACCCCCAGGAGGCCCGTCGCGCGGCAAGAAGGCAAAGTCAGCGGACGAGTCGCGCGCGTACTATAGGGATTTCGCGTCAAGTTAAATAGAGTGTCCCACTGCACGTCCTACATCGCACACCACGCGCTGCAACTCGTCCGCCGACTCTGCCTTCTTGCCGCGCGACGGGCCTCCTGGGGGGTACCCATTGGAATGAGGCAAATGGATGTTTGCGTTGGATTTGTTCTTAAGTTCTTAAGTACACAGTTAGGCTCACAACAGTGATGTCACACTCACTATCTTAACCACCTCAAACTCAAGGAAAAAGAAAGAGGAAAATAGCTACAGGCTGCCAGCCACGATTGTAGGTCCTAGTGCTACTCAACGACGGTAGGGGTATTTTTTCGAAGCGGGATGTTGGTATTTTGCGCACCTTAGCACGAATTTCGTTTTTAAATATCTCCGAGATCTTAAAAGGACAAGGGATAGAAGCGTACAGCGTCGATCCAGTCCCTTTTGGGATGCCCCATTTTGAGAGCAAATTGGCC